AAAAAAAAAAAAGAAAAAAACAAAATGTATTTGCCAAAGATCAAGATTTTCAATTAACATAGATTTACATATTTTACTCGAAATAATTTTGTTCTAAGTGATGATACTATACAGAACGTTTTAAATATTTTGCCACACATAATAAGAAAATGTTATATTTTTTAAACAAATTATTTCTGTTATATATAATATCATTGAACTTGAAATGTAGTATTAAAAAAAGATAAAAAAAGAATACTAAGTCACACTTTAAATAGACTTTGCTGTAACTCACTGTATCAGTGAGGCAGCTTTCCTGAATATACCTAATAATAAAAAGAAGTATTAAAGAATTATAAAAAAAGCGATATTTGATTTCAATAAATTTCGGAAAATTAAAAATTGTTTTAAATACAATGTACGATATTAAGGAGTCAAAAAATAGAAAAATAAAGTAACAGTGAACGGATGTAATCGTACATATAGCATTACAGTACATTTGTTCGCTTGTTTAATCATTCAAAAGTACTGTACTGAAAGATTATATGGTTTGTACTGATGAAGAATGTGTTTATTGCAGAACGATTGGTTTGAGTGAATGAGAAATGTAAAGCCATTAAACATTTCATGTAACATTTATATATGCATATATACAGATATAAATATATATAAATGTTAATTTCACTTAATCATAAAACTTCAATTTAAAAAAAATGCCCATGTGCACAAGGTTCAAATAATATTTTGTTCTCAAAATAAATTGCATGTTGAGGACATTTGTTTATTTATTGACGTATATCAAATGAACTGCTCACATGGAATTATATTATTAATAGTAATTTATTCCAAAGTAAGGGTAGCCATGGGTAATAAGTATAGAATAAAGCAGGATTACACCACATTTAAGTAATGTCTTTCTGTACATAGTATACTTGTATGTACGTGTATGTATTTTTTGTTATCACATACATGCAATTATATGTATATGTCAAGAAAATAATAATTTTTTTAATTTCAAATATACACTGCAAAACAACTTGTATAAATATAGCCCTTGGCTTAATATAATTCTATGTATCGCGATTGTCTTTTTAAATTTAAATATGGATTAAAATGTACATAATTAGTTTGTAAAGATAGTTTGTATTTTTGGTTCTATACCTTCCCCATTATATTGTCAAATATTTTAAATAGATGACTTCTTTAAGTAATGATCTAAATAGTAATGTGTCTGTGCATTATGAATATCGTTAAGAAAATGTTTTAATTTCTTATCTACTTTTTTATTTCAACGTTATAAAAATTATTAAATAATAACGAGGCCTTTAAGAACAGGGATGGAAGATTGATGCTAATAATCAAAGAGGAACAAATGTTAATTCTTTCAGAGATTTCCAAGGAAAAGAAAAATAAAATAAAAATTAAATAATAAGCGTCATTTACAATTTAATATTGTTTGAAAAATGATATATCCTTTTGTTTTACAAATAACCCTACATCCTTTTTTATAAGAACAATAATAGTTATATACTCCGATTTTCTGGGATAAAATTTGGCAAAATAAAAGTAAATCGGTAATATAATAATTGTAAAAACGTCGATTCTTAATATATATTACATGTGATCAAAACCATCTATTCCTTTTAGTAGACATCACAAAATATTCTGTACATTGAAGACTGTTATGGTGGAAGTGAATGTTTATGACTATTTTAGATTCACACTTTAGGTGGATCTTCGCGGATCATTTCCAGAGAGCTATCTGAATTATTAGCGCTACTTCCACTTCCAGCATCATCTTCTCGTTCAGTTGGTTTTTCTTGACTTGTACCTGCAGCATCTAATTGCCATGTTGGTATAGATATAGATGGAACTGATGCTGGCGCACTTGGAAATTGCTTTCTGTTTAAAATTTGAAATTTTAGTAAATACGAATATTTATAAATTCTTTAACTTTCTATGTACAAACTTTGTAATTACAATTTTGGCAATATTAGTTACAAAATTATGCTAGAACATTAAACATAAAATCTGTTTTATTACATATTCTTTGTAATCAATCACGATTTGATTGATATATTTTATAGTTTTTTTTACTCAAAAAATTTTTACTTTTGTATTTCTAAATGAATGTATCTGAATGATTGGATCTGAAATATATACCTATTTGTATCTGCGTGAATCAGCAAAAAAAGATGAAAATGAACTTTTGTATAAAAATTATAAGATTATTGTATAAATTTCAAAATAAAATAGTATATGATGTATAGAATGATTATCTTGTATAAGAATAAATGTTTCAAATTCAAAAAATTGATTACATATTGTACATGGTTCAATATGTAATCATGCTAAAGCATAATATAAATATATTATACCTTGATAAAAGTAAAGATTTGAGACTAGCTAAATCCTGTTTCAATTCTTGCACCAATTGAGGTATCATTGGGTCCATAGTATGATTCTGTGTCAACTTTTGAACATCTCCCTCAACTTTAGAAATAGATTGTTTTACTTCTTTCATGGAATTTTGAATAGTCTTATCTAACTCAGTAACTGAATCCCTTATACTATCTTTCTTTTTCCGACCAAATAAAAATGGTTCGATAAATTTCTATAATGAAGAATATAATTAATCTGCTATATGATTTTGAAATAAAGCTTGTATCACACATATATATATATATAACAATACTTTGTAGATCCAGTAAACGCAATATATGGTAGCTCCAATTAAGGCGGTAGCATTGAAGAATTCTTTAATTCTTTGGAAAAGAGTTATTTGGTATGGGTATGTTTGAAAATGATGCATCTGATATGGTGGAATAGGAACCACTGTATAATCACTTGAATTAAGAACAGCATTTTGATCAATCGTTATGTCAATAGAAGCTAATTTAAATGCTCTTTTAATTTCCTCCTCTGTTAATCCCTTTCTTTGAAGAAATTCTTGTTTACGTCCAATAGGACTAGTTTGTACTTTAGGATTTTGTAAAAATTCCACTGCTGTTTTCACCTTAAAGAAAAATTTTTTTTATATCGAGTTATTTTACTTTTAGTACTTACATAATCGGTCAATGTGCAATTTTATTTTAAGTCACTTTAGTGAAATATCTCAATGCAAAGAAAGTTAAAATCTTTAAATAAATATATAAATACACACACGCAAACGCACACACACATATGTATATATATATATATATATAGAGCTTAAGAATGATCGGACTTACTAAATTTTCTCTCAAAGTAAGGTTATTATTATTTGCATCTTGGTCAGCCATAATTATAACTACAAATATCATCACCTTAATGAAAATCACATCACGATGCAAGATTCAGATTTTTTTTATGTAAATCATTTTGTAATACTGAGTGCACAGTACACACGCATAACGCGCAGGCGTTGATATAAACACTTGATATACTATCTTTTGGGTATAAGAATATTTTGGATATTTATCGAGCAAATTATTGAACTTTGTATTTTGTATTTAATTAAAACGTGTATACATAGTTATCAAATAACAAAAGAAATATGTATTTTCTATATTATTAAAAGTATAGAAAGTTGTATATATATATATATACATATATTATATATATATACGTATATATGTATAGATTTTGTTTGATTTTGAGTTTAAAGAAATGTAATCGACATAAACAAAAATTTTTCAAGATACAAAGAAAGAGTTTAAATAGTAAATTATTTACAGATATGATTTAATATTTTTTTGATACTTTTATTACAGTGATTAAGCATATAAATGTATAACTACCGGTTTTGAAATCAATACAACAATCCTATTTGCCCTACAAATGTATAATTAAGATATTTGTAATCATAATGTTGGAGAAGTAAATCTAAATTTAAGTACAATCTATTGTTATGTGTTATATTAATCAATTATTATTTTAAATCTAACTTATCATAATAGTATATGTCTTTGAAATACGTAGTATAAAGAAGTGGGTGTTGCTTTCGTCATTTGATAGTTCGCACTTGTATCAGTAGGTTGGTACTGTTACTGTACATTTCGGAGGTCGATATAAATTAGTCTCTTATTTTTATTAATTGCCTCAAGAGTCATGTGTAAGTGATCTTTTACAATTTTGAAATTCATATGTATATTTGCGTTTTATAATTTTCCGAGGATTTTTAATAATGATAATGCGTACGATATAGACCGTTCATTTCCGATCAATAATACTAACCGTTTACAAGACATATTAGAGAATCTCAAATGTCATTTAAGAAAAGGGGCGTTATCTTTTATACAATATAAGAACTTCATGTCAATTTTTACATAAATTACACTTCTCAAGCTTTTTGCGATCCTTATAATATTATTGAATCAATACAATATAATTGAATCAATACAATATTATGCCAAAAAGTTTTCTTAGATTTCCAGTCATTGATTTTTTATAATTTTTTTGGAGAGCTAAAATATCTTTTAATACACGTTACATTTATTGTAACACGTAATTTACAAATATATTTTGATAAAAATATGTATTATTTGTTTGTAGATTGAGTGTAATTGGAGTAATAAAAAATACCCTCTGTCAAAATGATAGGGGGTTTATTTGTGTATAATCATAAGGGAGAGGTACTCATCTCTAGAGTGTACAGAGATGACATTGGACGGAATGCAGTTGATGCATTTCGTGTCAATGTTATCCATGCCAGACAACAAGTACGTTCTCCTGTTACCAATATTGCTAGAACATCATTCTTTCATATAAAACGTGCTAATATTTGGCTAGCTGCTGTTACTAAACAAAATGTTAATGCTGCTATGGTCTTTGAATTTTTATTAAAAATTATCGATGTTATGCAATCATACTTTGGTAAGATTTCTGAAGAAAATATCAAGAACAACTTTGTGCTAATCTATGAGCTTTTGGATGGTTAGTATACTCTGTAATGATATTTATATAGATAAAATACATTTTATTTTTAATACTAACGTGTAATTAAATTTATTATTTAGAAATCTTGGATTTTGGATATCCACAAAATTGTGACACTGGAGTTTTAAAAACATTCATTACTCAGCAAGGAGTAAAATCAGCAACAAAGGAAGAACAGGCTCAAATAACTTCGCAGGTAACAGGTCAGATCGGATGGAGAAGAGAGGGTATCAAGTACAGACGCAATGAATTATTCCTTGATGTTCTTGAATATGTGAATCTCTTAATGAGTCCTCAAGGACAAGTGCTGAGCGCACATGTTGCTGGGAAGGTTATTATTAAGATTATTTAAAAGCAGAAAATGAGAAAATCTGAGATATTTATTAATCTTTTCTATCATATCAGGTTGTGATGAAGTCTTATTTGTCTGGAATGCCAGAATGCAAATTTGGAATCAATGATAAGATTGTCATGGAGGCTAAAGGTATGAAAGGTGGAAGTGGTTTGGGAGGAGGTGGAGATGATCCTACAGGTGCTAGATCTGGAAAACCTGTTGTCGTGATTGATGACTGCCAATTTCATCAGTGTGTTAAGCTTAGTAAATTTGAGACAGAGCATGCCATCAGTTTTATACCTCCTGATGGAGAATTTGAATTAATGAGGTAAGAATCCTTCAAAGAAATGTCGCTCGTGTAGGACAAAATCACAGTTCTTTAATGTTCTTTGGTAATGGTAATATTCTTTTATAGATATCGTACCACCAAAGATATATCATTGCCATTCCGTGTCATTCCATTAGTACGTGAAGTGGGGCGTACAAAAATGGAGGTGAAAGCAGTACTGAAGTCAAACTTTAAACCATCTTTGTTGGGGCAAAAGATCGAAGTTCGAGTACCCACTCCACTGAACACTGCTGGAGTACAATTGATTTGCTTGAAAGGGAAAGCAAAATATAAAGCATCCGAAAATGCTATTGTATGGAAAATCAAGCGCATGGCTGGCATGAAGGAAACTCAGTTATCAGCAGAAATCGATTTGCTTGAAACCGACACGAAGAAAAGGTGGACCCGGCCCCCAATATCGATGAATTTCGAAGTACCATTTGCGCCCTCTGGATTCAAAGTTCGTTACTTGAAAGTATTTGAATCCAAACTGAACTATTCCGATCATGATGTTATAAAATGGGTGAGATACATAGGCCGAAGCGGTCTATATGAGACACGATGTTAATAATCTCATCGCATTAATTGTAAATGAGTAATCTCAAAACATAAATATCATTTTCTCAGAACTATCACTTTACGGCGCATATTTAAAAAAAGTTTTCTGAAATACTCAAACTAACTGATAAATGATTAAACAAATAGAGAGATACCAAGAGGGGAAGATTTTTGTGCCAATGTTTTTTGTAATCTAGTTTTCCGTGTTTATATTTTATCATAGCATGCGTGAGTTCGAGTTCTTTTTAAAAGTCTTTGTATAACAATTTTATTCTATCTGAATTTTAGTGAAATTCCAACTTTTGTGAAAATTAATATTTGTAATTTCATGCGTTGAATTAGATTTTAATCTTGAATGTATTATATCGTATTTCATTATACATTACGTTAATGACATTTTTTAGTCTCTTTGTAAACTAAAAATTCACGACCTCTTTGGTATCGTTACAACGAGAAAGTTTAAAGTAATCGTTAAATAACATGGATGATATTTAAAATGAAGTTTAGGTTATTGAACGTATTTGTGAAATAGAGAATATCTTGATTCATTGTAAAGGAATAATTTCGTCTCTCTATGTTAAAATTCATATGCATAATAAAATATGTATGTAATTTAAAACGTTATGTCATGTTGTAATTTTTTAAAATAATGTTAATAGTTGAATGATTGATTTCTATATTGTTGAAATGTTCATATGAATCTTCAGATGTAACGATAAAATTAAAAAACAATATGGTCGCAAAACAATAGTTGTAATTGCCATTTTGAATATTAGAATTCCACGATAAATTCGAATTTTCCGTATATCTTTTTTGTGATGGTAATAATCCAAAAATGCGTACGATTTAAATTTTTGATAAAATACTTGTGCTTGACTTAATGATAAAATGTCTATAAATTTATTTCGAAATCAATTTTAAAAATGTATTCAGCTAACATGGAGTATTCAGCTAAAACTTTCATTGTTTTCTTTCATTGCTTACTCCGAAATTTTTGTAATAATTTATAATTATCACGTAGACTCACCATTCGTAGTTGTTTTCACAGCGACAAGGCCAAGAATTGCAAATTGTCATCCAAAATTTTACCACTTTTTTCAGATAAATTTCACTACCGACTGCATAATAGTGTTCGCGGTTTTGCGCGGCATAACGAATTAACGTCTGCAATTCAAACTTAATTTAGAGTCAAACCACGCAAGTCGAATTGATGCGTCCATATGATTCGTTAATATCGATTTGAAATTTGAAATCAATCAAATGTATTGACATTTAATATATATTTCTTTATTTAATTCAGTGAATTGTCATTGCAGTTAAACAGACGTTTTTATTTTTTTTTTAGAATAATATTGTCATTTTTTAAATAGAAAATCTATAAATTTATATACAAATGCACCGGAAGTTGAAATTATTCAGGGCTACTTGTTATTATTTTTAAATAAAAATTACGACATCGTGACATTTTCATCGTGCATTTGAACGGGAAAGCAGGTACGTAACAATCAAAATAAATGAAGGATTAATAATTCTTGCGAATCGTTTGTTAAATATAAAATTCTATTTCATTTTATTTTTTTTTTCACAATTGATCGAGTAATTGATTTGACGCGCAACAAATTGAACGCCGTCACGAATGCCAACGGACGAAAGTATGAGGTGAGGAGACGCGTCCTAATTAGTTTTAATCTGTCGGATTAATTAAGGTTCCGAGTGAATGCAATTGAAACGGTGTGGACTTGAAAGTAAAAATTTAAATTCGAAGCGGAGTTTCTCATCTACATGTCAGCCGCTTGCCTTGGTGGTAGAGCGTGATAACTTGTGCTTTGGCGCATGCGGCTCGCAGCCATACCCGTGCTCGTACCTGTCATGGATTCCAAGGATCGACCGCGAGCGCAGGCACGCGTGATCGCACGATTTTCTGCGTGAAAATCAACGATACATCGAGAAATACGTGTATAAAAGTAATGCACGATTATGAGCCGGTGGTAAAGTGGTGATATTTCACTGATCCAAGTGTTGGCGCTGCGTAAACAATCGTTGCAAGATGAACCCTCTCGACACGGGTTACGAGCCTTCTTCTGTCATACGGAGAACAGATATTGTAAGTATTTCGTTACATCGTGCTGTTTTTCTCGATGAAATAGATATTTATTAGCGACAAGCGATATGATGCGTACACCGTGAGCCGATTTACGCGTACATTACACGCTGTCCTCGTATCCTAGTGTGTCGAGTCTCAGAGAAATTTTTTGCGAACGTGACTGACAGTTTTTTTCTACCTGTGATTAGTTTTTGCCTTGGTAACATTCGCTGGAAACAAGATTCTTCGAATCCTCATCAGTTTACCAATGTTTAGGTTACACACCGTGGTCGCGTATTGTATACGTCTTCGAGGTCTCGTGGCGATTCTCACCGAGCAGTTTTATGGGTACCGCTATTTTTAGTACATACCGTAAACCTGCAGCTCTGGCATAAACGAAGGTATTGAGAATTTTATAATTTTCGTGTTGTATACCGGCACGTTGTTTCTCGAATTGTCGGTCCCGGGGTTATTTCGAAAGAGTAAATGCGATTGGTGTGTGTACATGTATATCGTGGCTATGCGAAACGGTTTTAAAGTATGGGTTCAGTTATTCAGTAGTATGGTGTTTGTTTCTTCGATGACAGTTTGATGGTGTGACGTTATTGAATTAGAATTTTTGGCGGGAAATAGGAGGAAGCATTTATAATAATCTGTATTGGAATGTCAGCATGCAATGTGCGGTTCATTAAACGACGACCATTGTGCCTGGGCGAGCTCATCGTAATCAGCTGTTATCAAGAATGTTGCTATATGTGTTTCCTGCCACTTGTGGTTCTACTAGCTATTCCGTCGTAACCTAATGCAAGTCACCTTTCACGGCTTCGTTTCACATCTAATTGTTAACTATTAAACTAACACCGTTTCTTAGTACCCGGTTTTTTCTTCTCTCTTTTTTTTTTTTTCCTCGTCGTCACCGGTTGTTTTATCATTCATCTTATCGCGCTACATCAGAAACGATAATCGATATTCGGCCAGTGGGACGGTTGAAATTTTAAGTTTCAGCAGAGGCTATTAAAAGACAAAACGGACAGTGGTGTCTTCGAGGTGAAAAGCTGCTGCTGGTCGATTCAAAGTATACTTAGAAGCCAAGTTGTAATCTTCTGTTTAAGGAAACCTTGTGCTTGATGCACACATCGCGCTATAAAGGAACGACTGAATATTAGAGAGGAAAAGCGAAAGCTACCAATATTCATGCTTGTTTTGCCACAAGTTACGCCACTTTTGTTGCCATTTTCCACGACGAATCATCCGAATTATATTGCTTTGTTCTGTGCATTTAGGCTAGAAGATATATATATATATATATATATATATA